TGTTGGATTTGATATTTTATTTTTTGTGGCTAAAATAGCCTATTTTGTCTTTTGTGGTTAAAATAGCTAAAAAAGTCCCGTTTAACTTTTGCCAAACGGAGATATGAGTTAGGTTCGGAATTTAAATTGAAGGCTCCTCCACCCCCGAATAATATATTTAGAGATAAAGGGCAATTTAATAAATAAATAAATGCATAAAAACACAATTATATTGACATAACAGACACAAATATCTTAGGTAAATTATCAATAAATCTTAATAGTTAGATTTAATTCTCATAAATTTCTATTGAAAATAAGGCATAGTAAAATCATCACTTAAAATAATTTTTTGTGACGATTTTTTTTTATATGTCGCTAAAAATTTTTGTTTGTCATTATTTTTTTATAATTTGTTGCTAAAACCTACAACTAGTAACATTTTTCTGTGATGAATTTTTTAAACTGTCACTGAAAGTTAAAAATTAATTACTTTTTTTATGATATTTTTTTGAAACTGTCACTAAAACTTATAATTAGTGACATTTTTTGAGACAATTTTAAACTGTCACTGAAAGTTAACAATTGGTAAAGTTTTTTAATAATATTTGATGAAAAATGTCATTAATTCTCACAGGATTACTAGACAATAAGTTTACCTGCTAAAACCTACACGTAAGTCCCCAAATATCTACCCATTGAAAACATTGGTCAAATTCTGAAAAATTAAACATACAACTTGAAAAATATATATGGGGAGCAAAATTACATTTGACATTGTGAACATTATGTACATTAAAAAAAATACTCTTTTTGTAAAGACCAAAAAATAATTGAATTGATGAAAAAAAAAGAGGTTATGAATATGCATTGCCATAATAACATCTAAATTAGTCATTAATTACGTATATAATCAATTGCTGGAAACACAAACTAATTAACGTATATAAATAAATAAACAGATTGATGAACAAACTTGAAAAAATTATTTTATTTAAAGCTAGGTTTAAAATAACCGCCTAACAATTGGGCTGGGCCGAACTTGAATAGGCACAAAACCCCTAGGCAATACAAACCCAACTCAAACGTGGCACCGCCCAGCTTTAATGAAACCCACCTATAATACTCTGAACCAAAATCATTATATATTTATCTCACAGTTATTTTGTAAAAACCCTATAATGTAGGGGGTGATAGGGAACTGTTTGTCTAGTTGTGTGTAATTTTGCATGTGACATGCCTTTTTTGCAAATCATTAGGTGTTGCAATTTGCAAAGCATGTAATGTAAGCTAGTGTTTAGGAGAAAATTATTTAATATTTTCGGAGTATTACGTGTTTATATTTTTTAATTAATCATTATTCAATATGTATCTTCATATTCTCCAATCACTCAATATAATATTTCATCTATTCATATTCTTCACCAATTATAATATTATAAAATACTACGTATTCATATTCTGAGATTACTGAATAATTATCTAGTTTTTAGGACTTTAATAAAACTGTGTGTGTGATTATACCATCAAATAAAACTGTGTGATTATACCATCAAATAGGCTTTTGTCCCTTTTTTTTGGACTCGATGCACTAGCGAGGATCACGTGAATTTGTGCTACATAAAATAAATAATACTAATTTTTAGATTTATTTACTTTTAATTTTCAATTATGCTATATAAAATATTTTTTAAAAACTAACATGGTTTATTATAGGGATAATTGGTGATAAGTCTATTTCTATGGGGATATGGCATTTGATTAAAGAATTGATCTTTTATGAAGATAAGGGTATGATTAATAAAATTATTTGGTAAGAAGAAAAAATTATTAGAACAAATTTTTATTTTGAATATATATATATATATATATATAACCTCTTGTCTAGCAATTAGTGACAATGATAGAAAAACTTGTTGGAAAAGTCGCTGGTGATGGCTGGTGGTGGTGACTAGGGTAGTAGTGATATGAACAGATAGACAAATTAGATGGATAGATAAGTAAAACATGAACAAATAAGGGGATAACAAGTGAACAGATTAAACTCAAATTTAATTTTAAATTATAAGCCCAAATTTAAAAATGAGATGAGTTTCACCACCTCATCTTTGGCCTACATTAGTGATTTTTTATCTTGTAAAACTTATTTAAAAAATTAAGTTAATTGAACATTTGTAATCAGATAATTGAATGGCAAATTTTTTTGAAAATAATAGACAACACATCATTTTGAGAATAATAGACGATCTTAGCTTTGTAAAAAAAATATATATATATCCTTATTGTGTGAGTGTTGATATTAAATTAATTTAATTTTTTCCTATAGACGATCCCTATACAAATTGAATGGTACAGATAAACCACGCGGTCCGTGTTGGGCCTACAATGGGCCAATAGCACAAGTTCAACTCCAATTGCTGAAAAGTTTATCCCTTTTAAAAAAACACTCACGACCCAAAAAAAAATTTAAAATAAAATAATTTAAAGAAAAAGAATGGCATGATCTTTTTAAAAAGGAGAAATTAAAAAAGGTAATAAAGGGGAAAGAGGATGCTCTAAGAAAGTGGTGCAAGAAAGAGCATGGTTATGAGTCTATCATCCTCAACAACACAAGGCCAAACCAGGCTAAGCCAGAGCAGACCAGATGCACCTTTTGTGGATCCATTCATTGAACACACAATTTGACAGCTATTTCCCATATATCCCCTTTCAAGTCAGGCCAATGTCTAGTTAGGCTCTTTTCGGCCCATCGACTCGCCAGCTGTGTTTGTGTTGTTAAAACTCCTATAAATTACAAAATTGATGTGAATTTGATTTGAGCAGTTATACGAAGTAAGAAGTCTATTAGGGATATATTTGGAAAACTAAAAATGTGACAACCTATATCAACTACCGTGGACACACACGATGTGTGTGCGCACAGTGGTTAATTTCTTCGAGTGAGCACTTTTGATTGGATAGCTCTTACTAATTGTGCTATTTTGCAAAAATTTAGAGCCTTATACGGAATCATCTTGTTTTCTCTTGTGCAAAAAATTTACTCTGGACACCGTCCAATTAATAAGTGACGCTAGATTTAGATTGAGAGAAAGGCACTTGTTCCACATGGGGCATACCCCTTTTTTGGATTGGGAAGAAAAATTAGGAAGGGAAATTCCGAAACTCGAACTTGAGTGCTAAACTTTATTAGCCAGCATATTTTTCTTGAAGAGGCAAATAAGCATATCTTTCAATATTCTATTCCCACATAGACCAATCAAAAAATAGTGGTGCTCTTGTACCTTTTACTCCGTTGATGGGGGACAAAAGGACCCAAAAATCTCCTATAGAGCCCACATTACAATACCCAATTGAGTAAAAATTTGGATGACAAGAGAACATGGCACGATCTTTTGGGATTCTTTTACACTTTTTGACATGGCCTTTGGCAGGCCTTATGGCCACTAGCCCTATTCAGAATTCCCATTCATGACCAACTGAGAATTTAAGTCACAACTCTCCCTATATATATCTAGTCCTCAATGCACAAAAAATATACAAAGTGAAGAGATTTTGAATCACCAAGAGGGTCTTACTTGAAGAGGTAGAGAGTTTGATGCAGCCAAGGATGACTTGCCGGCCCAACAGCACCAGTGTGGGAGATGGGTACTTTCCGGCAAGTTGTCTTTGGCTACATGAGTCTCTCTTTCTCTCAAGTAAGACCTTAATGGCATACATTAAATAATAGTTGAGAGGCGACCTCTAGTCATATGGTACTTGTTCGAGACAAGAATCAATATCCACAAATCATTTTATGCAAATCTGTATTTTTGTCTTTGAATTCATTCCATTCTCTTTCCATTTAATTTTGTTTCCAGCTTATGCTGCGGATAGTTATCGAGTTGCTTGTGCTGTATCTTTTCGGGATTGTCTCTATTGAAAAGGGTCCACAGTGGTTCTCTATCTCCCATCCTTCTTTTTGCTTGCTGCTGAGACTCGTAGTCAAGCATTAGAGCTCTTCTAACCTCTTGCCTATATACCCTTGTCTTGCAAGTGATAAAGATGAGTTGTTGGGATTGTGTACATGGCTATATTGAGCTCTTCTCATGCAGAAATTTTACTTACCCAGAAATGGTGTCTCAAAATTTCACCCAACAGAGAATTGTGTGGTGGAAATTAAAATTGTGTTGTGTAGAAAAAATCTAGACCATAAATTGATAGTTCTAAGTGTATATTCTGCGTTTGTAGTGTTACAGCTGGCATAAACGAAGAGCACTCTGGGTTATTTTGAAAACCCATAAACGTTATGCTGTTGAGATCTCATATATATATATATATATATATACTGTTCTGATAAATACTTTAAAAAGGAATAAAGAGAGAGTGCATGATCATGCAGATTTTTACGTACAATCAAGGTAAGCCATGTGAACGTCAATTTTTGTGGCTTTTTGCCGGAAAGTAGACGAAACACATGTGGTACAATTACTGTATATTGTTATGAAAGGATGCAGCTGTATGGCACACTAGTTTTCAGATAAATTTATGAGTTAAAGTGACCAAATATATTGAAAAAGAAAAATGATGTAAAAGTTTACTTTTTTTAGATTCCAATAATGTATAAATGAGATAATTGATTGATAACATAGAAAGAAATAGTACATGAAAGTGATTGGTTTATTGATTATTGAATTTGAAAAATGAATCTAATTTTTGAGTTAAAATAACACTATACATTGAAAAATATTATTCATATAAAATATATACAGAACGATGCATTACTCATGTTTTTAGAATTATAAAATGAAGTGGTGAACTTTCTAATTTTCTGGTAGATAATTATTAATTTAATGCTATGATGTCATAACTAAAAACAAAAGAATTTTAACCACCACATAACTTATAAGTAAAGAATTCTTATATTATAGCTAAAATAATGAGTTATAATCAATACCACAATATACTATAATCACAAGGGTCGTAATTTAAGGTGCATATAAATATTTTTTAATATATAATTACCCAAATATATATTACCAAAGTTTGCAACAAACTTGTGTTATTCTAAAAACAGGCACCAGGTTAATTCATTTGTCCATTCCCCTGCTACAAAATGCAAGGTCCAAAAAAATTAAAAAAATGTCTTACAAACAAACATGTCTCTCTCTTTTCTTTTTCTTTTTTTTCTTTTCATCTGTTTCTTTTCTTTTCCTCCAAACAAAAACATTTTTTTTTATTTTTATTTTGGGTGAATACTGATAACAAAACATATCGTAACATACATAATTAATTCCTCCTCTTTATTACAATGCCGACGCCAAAGCCACAACCAGGCCAGAGACCAATCCAGAAGCAGCGAACCTCATCGCCGACGATTTCGACGGAGCGGGAGCATCCGCCTCCTTTCCGTCGGCGGCGGGAGCGTCGGCGGAGACCGGCGGAGAGCTGACCGGAGCTTCTGCCGGCGATTCGGTGGGAGAATCGGCGGTTTCGTCGGCGGCGGGGCTAGGGGTAGGGGTAGGGGTACCGACAGGGCTAGGGCTGGGGGCCTTCTTCGCCTTCGACGGCGCCGGCGCCGGAGCTTTCTTCGGTGGAGCAGTGAAGTTTCCGTCGATTCCAGGCGTGACGATGATGCCGGAGACTTGAAGCACGGACACATTATACGGCTGAGCAGCCACCAGATTAACGAGCTTGACATCGAGATGCGAGCCTTTGATTGCGGATGCGAATCCGACTTCACGATTGGGCAGATCTGTGATGTTGAGAAACCCTTGCTGGGTGGATGCGATTCCCGAGGCCTGATAGAGAGTGGTAACGATGCTCGATTTCTTCGACAGTTGTTGGAGTTTAGGGATATCGTAGTAATCGAGGATGACGTGTACGCTCAGGATTCTTCCGGCTACGTCGACGGGCTTGCTTGAGAGAGCTCCCATGGCGTCATTGTGGACGGCGAGGACGGTGATGGTTTGGCGAGCGTTGATTTGGTTGGCGAGGCCGGTTTGGGATAGGAGGGAATTGAAGGTGCTGTAGTTTGGGAACCTGTCGAGGAGTTTTGTTATGTTGAAAGCCGTTGCGGCCGAGGAGAATAGAAGGAAGCTAGAGAGAATGACAAGCAATGATGATTTCGGACTCATTTTTTTTTCTTTAAAACTATTTTTGTTTGTTTTTGATTTTGTCCGATGCGGATTGGAGAAGAATGAGATCAGATTGGTCCAACCCGCATGGGTTTATTGTGCCTGCTTGGTGGGGTGGGTAATGGGGGAATGCATTATATATATATATATATAGGAGAGATTTGGAGCTGAATTTTTGGAGATGGTATGGATGGGAGTGAAGGTCGGTCCGCCATTGCTGGTTTATGAGGAATATGGGTTGGTTGGTTTGTTTGTTTGTGTCTCTATTTAGAATGCCTTTTGAGTTTGACTTGGTGTTGTTGAGTTTGCATGGATTTGAAAATTCGTCATGAGTTTGCATGGCCATTTGACCTCCTAAACATAAGTACCAAAACTCTACGTAATATATGACTACTTACTCACAAGAGTAAGGTGGTAGTCTAAATCTGAAAAAAATAAAATAAATGTGGAAGTGATATTTTTAACAATTTAATTTATGTTGGACATAGTTTTATGTAGTTTTTTTTTTGGAAAATTTATGGTGTGTGTGGGAGTTTATTTTGCTGATTTGAATCGTTTAATTTTAGTTTATCTTAGTGATCTAAATCATTTAATTTGTAAAGCATGTTGAATAGATTATTCATATAAAAAATTTAAGTAGGTTGCACTATAAGAATTTGCATATTTGACAATCACTTTTAGCGACTAAACAAAATTTAGTTGTCAAAAATGTCACTTTGGGTGACTAAAATATGTATTAGTCGGCGTTGGTACAGTTTTTAACTACTAAATTTTTTTAGTCAGGAAATATTATTTATTGGCTACTAAATTACTTTTTTGTCAGCAAAAGTGACGCTTTTAGAGACTAAAATATTTATTAGTCGCCGTTAGTCTCAATTTTAGGCTACGATTTTTTTTTTAGTCGTGGTATATGAATTTTTGCCTACAAAATAAATGCTAGTAACCAAAGACTCGGTATATTTTTTGGTTAATCTTTACTGACTAAAAAATTTAGTGGGCAAATACAAATTTTTTCTGACCAAATGGAGATTTAGTCGCCAAATATACTTTTGGCGACCAATAAAATAGTCGTTATTTATTTGCCTGTGGCTACCAAATAGGATAGTCACCAATAATACACACTTTTGCCGACAAAAATTTCGTCTAGTCGCTGAATCTTCAAATTTTTTAGGGTGCAAACGCGGACTTTTTTATTGCTGCCCGCCCTTTTCTCTGTTACACACAACAACATTCAAACCTCACAATTAGACACCAAACCGAAGAGACAAACACCTCACCGCAGCCCACCATACCGCAACCCACCATACGAAAGACATTGCCACGGCCACGGCTACGGCCATAGCCATCACTACCACTGCAAAGCACCACTAACACAGCCGCAGATCACAAGTTCCCTCTCTCTTTTTCTCTCTCTCTTTCGATCTGGGTGTGTCTGTCTGTCTATCTCTCTCTCCCTCGCTCACTCTCTTACTCTTGGTATGTATGTCTGCCTATCTCTCTCTCGCTCTTGGAGATCAATAGTTACATGATTTTTTGTGTATGAAAAAAAGAGTCTGATTTTCAAATTGTACTTGTCATTTGTTTTGTTTTTGAACAAAAAATAAATTGTCAAATCAAATAGTTGCCAATGTTTAGATCAACTTGATATTTTTTGCATGAATGATCTGCTTAACGGTCTTTATAAACTGAACAATTCAAATAAGAAAAATAGGTTAGGGGTGGTAGATGTGGTGATCAACATTGGTTGTTGAAACAAATTAAGAAAAATAAAAAAATGTTAGGGATAGTGGTAAGAAAAATAATTTAGCTTGTTTGGTTTGAATTTTTAAGATTTACTTTTTAGAAAATTGATTTTTTTAATTATTTTTTATTTTTTGTGTTTTTTTGTTTTCATTGATTTTTTTTTAATATTCTAAGCAATTTTTTTAAATTTTCAGATACATCTAATATAAATATACTTAAAAAGTATAATATTTGTAAAAAAAATCTTTAAGAATCGATAATTCAGTACATTTTTTATATTCTTGTGTATTTATTGAATTTTTAAAATATTTTTGTACAAATAGTTTACTTTTTAGATACATCTAAATAAGGTGCATATAAAAAAGAAAAAAAAAATTATTTAAAATTTTAAAAATATTCACTAAAAACAAAAAACTCAATTTTTATAAAATTGAATCTAAACACACTTAATTTTTATTTTTATTTTTGGTTAAATTTGGGGAAATAGTATTGTTGTTCAGGCTAAAAAATTAGACACACTTTCTAAATTCAGTAATGCATCAAGAATATGATTGGTTGATTTTTCTATAAAGTGGGTTTAAAAGGTAAACTTGTATATCATTTTTCTTAGAAAATGGGGAAAACTCTAAATTTAGGAGGGAGCCAAGTGTAGTTTTGCATAAATATTGTTAGCTTTTTTGGCTTTTGAAGGTTAATTGTGTAATTTTAAGAGTGGCTTTTTTAGGGCGCACATGTGGACTCTTTTATTGTTGCCCGCCCATTTCTCTGTTACATACAACAACATTCAAACCTCAAAATTAGACACCAAACCGAAGAGACAAACACCTTACCGCAGCCCACCATACGGAAGACATTGCCACGGCCACGACCATCGCCACCACCGCAAAGCACGACCGACACAACCGTAGATCACAGGTTCCCTCTCTTTCTCTTTCTCTCTTTCGATCTAAGTGTGTCTGTCTGTCTATCTCTCTCTCCCTCGCTCACTCTTGGTGTATGCATCTGCCTATCTCTCTCTCGCTCCTTGAGATCAATAGTCACATGATTTTTTGTGTATGAAAAAAAGAGTCTGATTTTCAAACTGCACTTGTCATTTATTTTGATTTTTAACAAAAAATAAATTATCAAATCAAATAGTTGCCAATGTTTAGATCAACTTGATATTTTTGCATGAATGATCTGCTTAACGGTCTTTATAAACTGAACAATTAAAATAAGAAAAATAGGTTAGGGGTGGTAGATGTGATCAACATTGGCTGTTGAAACAAATTAAGAAAAATAAAAAAAAAATGTTAGGGATAGTGGTAAGAAAAATAATTCAGCTTGTTTGATTTGAATTTTTAAAATTTACTTTTTAGAAAATTGATTTTTTTTTTATTTTTTGTGTTTTTTTTGTTTTCGTTGATTTTTTTTTTTAATATTCTAAGCAGTTTTTTTAATTTTTAGATACATCTAATATAAATACATTTAAAAAGTATAATATTTGTAAAAAAAAAATTTAAGAATCGATAATTCAGTACATTTTTTATATTCTTGTGTATTTGTTGATTTTTTAAAATATTTTTTTACAAATAGTTTACTTTTTAGTTACATCTAAATAAGGTGCATCTAAAAAAGTAAAAAAAATTATTTAAAATTTTAAAAATATTCACTAAAAACAAAAAACTCAATTTTTAGAAAATTGAATCTAAACACACTTAATTTTTATTTTTGATTAAATTTGGGGAATTTTTATTTTTGGTTAAATTTGGGGAAATAGTATTGTTGTTCATGCTAAAAAATTAGACACACTTTCTAAATTCAGTAATGTATCAAGAATATGATTGGTTGATTTTTCTATAAAGTGGGTTTAAAAGGTAAACTTGTATATCATTTTTCTTAGAAAATGGGGAAAACTCCAAATTTAGGAGGGAGCCAAGTGTAGTTTTGTATAAATATTGTTGGCTTTTTTGGCTTTCGAATGTTAATTGTGTAATTTTAAGAGTGCTAGAAAGGATCAATAAGTCTTTACAGAATTTATAATTGCCAACCAATTATCAGACGATTGCGTTGAAGTTCTTTCAACCTCAATGAAAATGATTTTTACTGGTGGCTTGTTTTAGGATAAATTTATAAGAAATAACAAGTACAGAACAATTCAAAAACTAAATTTCATTGAGTAAATAGGAACTTACAGTGAAATGACCCAGCATTGAGAAGGTTCACAGTAACAGCTATTTGAAACTGCTCCTAGGAAATGAAGTGCAGTATAGGAATTGAAGTGTTGAAAATGTAAAGAACTGGAAGGAAATACGAAGTAACTAAACAAGTTCATGAATCTGAGTTTGGGTTCTTCAATTTGGGGCCTTCCCTGCCATTTATACTCTCCAAGGGTAACCGTTGAAGTGGGCTTCCAACCATCGAAATGTCCTCCCATGATTGCTGATTATGCTCTCAATGCACTTTGTCCACGTCCTAGGACGTGCATGGACTTTGCATCTTCTTAGAAATCCAACCGTCTTCCATAAATGAAGCACTTAATCTACATTAAATTCTTTCTTGTGCTTAATTTTCCACTATCTGAGTATTCGAAAAGGCTGATACAATTGCTGTGACCAAACAAACCTTTTTTTTAATCGATCGTATATACAAAGAGGTATTAGACAATGATGTTTGTCCTCGAAAGAACCTTCATGCATTTATTGGCCACGCTTATCCGCCTCCATTTATTCAAGTTATGGATGTTTTCGTAAACTATCAACCTTTGGACCAAGGATCTGCCAACTGTAAACCTTTGGACTAAGAACTTGCAAAAATGGATGTTGGAAACTCCTCATTTGCCTCCAAACTTTCTATATGGGATGAAGCTGCCTTCTCTTCCTCTGACAACACTTCTAATAACACTAGCTAGGGAACTTGGCCTACACCTACTCAACCTCAAACAAGAGAGCGAATCCACCATCAATTCCCTAAATTTGATGACCCCATTGCAATCCATCCCTCCATGCGTAGCTTCGTAGTATATCTATATGTCCCCATCGACCGTCTTCGCAGCCTTGAGGACAACTTGTTTTTGACATGGTATATTTCCACTTTGCCGTCCAGAATAATGTGAAATACTCGACACCCTATTGAATCCCTGGGACTCTGTCCCTCACTTTTAGCCAAAAAACCAAAACTTTGCTCTTTTGACTGGCTAGAATATGTGAATAGGCTTGAATTCCCATATTTCTTTAGAGAGGACCCAACTGCTGATTCCCTGCCTTCCAATCCTAACTGGATTGAAGTACTAAAACTCATCCTTTTCGAGAGCTAGCATTTTGCTCTCTACCAAGCCCCAGTCCCTCCTACTACTTACCAATAGTATAGAGCCCAGACTCTACTTATCGCTTTCTCCCATTTATCCTTTGAGGTCA